CGCCGGACTGCAGCAGAAGGAAAAAGGGGGGCAACGGAGTATCAGCAATTGTAAAAAAAAAAAAAAAAAAAAAAAAAAAAAAAAAAAAAAAAAAAAAACAAGACATGTAGCAGGCAAAATAAGGCCTCAGCCGAGCAATAACACTTAACATAATTTTTGAAGCAAATTTTCACAAGTTGAAAAGCTAGAATTCTAAGTGCAAAATTGCGAAAAAAAGAAAGTTCAGGTAGAGGAATTTAAGATACTTACAGAACTCTTTAGCAGTTCCTCATCTGAAGCAGAGAGAGGACTTGGCTCGCGGATAGTAAGTGCAGCTGGGGGCCTAGAAGCACTCGTTCTCCAAGTTGCAGCAGCGGCCAAGGACTGCTCCTCAGGACTGAGCAGATAGAACAGGTCCCGCTTCTTATACCACGGCTTTTGAGAGAGGTAATCAGCTGAAGGGACAATGTCCGGCTGAGAACTTCGGAGAAAGGGCGCTCGGTTTGCAGGAGAGGTAATGACTTGATCACGCTTCGTCACAACCCTTGACGCTCTAATTCCCAACAGCTCGTAGTTCAAGCCGCAATTCCCTTTGTGCAGTACTGTTTCATCAAAAAAGAAATTGATTAATACATGCATAAAGGAAATCAAAGAAAAATTACAAAGCAGCAAAAAATCAAAGAAAGCTTATTCGGCCCCAGCCGAGATTCTTACCATCCTGGTACTTTCGGCTGAGGCCAACAACAACAAGCATCTTCTCTTAGAAGATGTAATGATAGCAGGGAAGCCAGACTTTAGGAAGCCCTGTTGATCGGCTAGCTCCCCTAGTCTTTGAGTCTCGCTTGAAGAGCTGCAGCTACTCTCTTTCCTCGACTGTGAACTCATCAGGGCCGAGGTTGCTCATTTTTGCGTCAGGCCATCTCAGATGCCTCAGCGCCCCGCAGAAGTTCGATTGTCCCTCCTCTATAGGAGCCGGAACCCAGATCCACTGGCCCCTTCATTCCTTATCAGAGGTGTCATTCGGCCAAGTGGTTAAGTACCCCTTTTGGGTCTCAATTCGCCACCACCCAGGTCCATGGGCTTCATTAGATTGCTGGTTCGGCACCAGCTTGTGCAATTTCCTAAAGACCTGGAGGCTCGGCTCGTACCCATAGAACATACATACCCACAAATATGTCATTACCCTCCTAATGCTAACAGGTGTTAACTGGCAAAGGGAAATGTTATAGGCGTTCAGCAGCTGAATGATAAATGGGTGCAAAGGAAATCTAAGTCCAAATTGCAGATGCCGAGTATACACTCCAAGATAGTAAGGGGGAGGTCTATGAATCCTGTCCTCAGCTCTAGGCATTTGACACCAATACCCATCCTCCTCCAAAATTCCATAAAATATCTCAATTTATTCAGCAAATCTATGGGCAGCATCCCCTTTCAACCACCAATCATAGGGGGCTGTAGTAATCAATCCATTGTTCTCAGGAGGGTTATGCCATTCCTCGGCTCCTTCCCACAACCTCCTAGGTCCATGCACAGAACCACTAGACGAACAAGTAGGCTCCTCAAATCCTTGATAGGGTACGAAATTTAAGATAAGGGTACTGTAGCTACTGGGGTTGTTAGATCACTATCCATATTTTCGGATCTTCGGAGTAGTGTATTGGTTCGGCTATGACTAAGGGTAGGCATACGCTGCAAAGGGCAATCTCGCCGGGCTCCTAAAAAAGTCAGGAGCAAGTTAGGGGCCTCATTTTCAGAACTCTCCCTCTCGGCGCTCTTTCTCACCATGTTTGAATAGAAAGGGTAGTATCGAGAATAAAAGAGGAAATAATGGAAAGTAATTTAAAGCCGAGCAAGTTTCGAAAAGAATTACCTCAAAAGATTCGGAATTTTCCGATCTTCAAGTAGCAGCAACAAAAACTGACTGCGGTCAAGTGAGCTTAGAGAAATCAAAGGAACAAATTTGGGGAATTCGCAGTGAATATCGCAAGTGCTCAGAGAATATTTGTGTTTAATGCGTGAATGATTATGGAATTGTGAAGAGGGGCGCTTATATAGTGCAGAAATCAAGAATTTCTAGAAACTTTAACCTCCCAAAAACCCCACAAATTCCATATTGAATTAAGTAGTCGTTATTAGACCTGGAAATCCTGACCCAGACCCGATGACCCGAATCGAATGACCCAACTCATTACCCGAAATTGACCCGAAAATTGTGATCCGAAATAAACTCGAAACCCGAATCAACCCGACCCGACCCATACCCAACCCGAAGTGGAATTGACCCGACCTTGACCCGAAACCCAAAACGACCCGACCCGAAATGACCCGACCCGAAGTTGAACCGAGACCCGAAGTGACCCGAGACCGAAGTTTTCCCGACCCGAAGTTGACCCAATATCCAAAGTGACCCAACCTTTAACTTGAATTAATTAACCCAAATAGACTCGAAACCCAAAGTGACCCGAACTAAAATTACATTATGTCCTTGTACATGAAATGACCAGAATCTATTTAAGCTAACGATTTGACCTGAGCAAACCGAAATAGAAAATAACCGCAATCAAACTGACTTAATTTTTTTTAATAATTTGTAATGTGTAATAGTGTAAGTACTTTACATATTTTGAGATTCTTGGAATACAAAATCTTCTAGGCCACTTGAGTAAAAAACGCTTCAATGGAAAATGAGATGAAGTGTGTAGAGATTAGAGAAAAGTGAAGACAAAAGAGAGAGATTGGACTCCTAATTTGCAATTTGCAGTAAATTTAATTTCAAATGAAGCATGTCATAACATATATGATATATATGATCGAATCAATTGAGAAAAGTTCACAGCACGAGTAAGTGTACTTGGCGTCCATCCACGCTACTACACTTTAAGTCTTTATTAGAAAAAATACAGTGTTGTCACTCTTGTGTCATTGTGTGTATTTGTTGAAATCGCCATCACAATAAATATTTTAAGAATATTCAATTGGTAAAATTCTATAAAGTAATTACTAATAATTATAATATGAAGTCTATTATTGATCAATTTCCTACAGTGGCATGCCTGCATACATGTATCAATGTATGTCCAACAAAAAAAAATCAGTATTCTTTTTCAATTTGTAGAGCCTTTAATTTTGATGAGTTTTGGATTTCAAAACTCATCTCAAGACCACTATATATAGTCTCGCACCACATTATTGCAAAAAACACAAGTTTAGTATGTGAGTCTTAAGTGAAGACTCCACTCAAGACTCACCAATAAACTTACCCTAATAAACTAGAGCATTACCTGAGCCCAATATTATGACCACTCGCATATTAATTGAAGAGTCTCGCACAGATCAATTCAGCTTGGTATAAGTGGGAAACCCCATAAAAATTAGAAGGGAAGAATAAGAAAATCTCCACTTCCAAGTTCCAAATTACTCTAGAAGTCCCAAATTACTCTAGTGGGAATTTGATAGCCGAGATATAAGTACAAATATTATAATCCAACCAAGTAGGCAATTACTCCCCCAAATATAGTTCTTGTTTTTGTTGTTAGGCCTCTCAAAAAGTTGTTCCTATTTTATATATTTCCATTTTTAGACACTATGAAAATAACAACTTTTAGACACGACGAATAACAGCTCTTAAAAGGTTATTTGCATGAAAATAACAATTCATTGCTATTCGTCGCTCGCATATTACAGGGCAACGCTCGCAAATTGAAGTGAATTTACCTTTTTGCCCTTTGCTTGATTTCTTCTATTTAAGGAAGTCCGATTGTTGTAATGAAACACGAGCTTCCTCAAAACAATACCGAGCATCAAATTCCTTAGTTTTCTTTTAAAAACTCGAGCCTCAAAATTCCCGAGCGATTTCACCTCAAATCGAATTTTTTTTTTCCCAAAAAAATTTCCGTTCATTAATCTCTGGGTTGAATATGTGGAACGACGTCAACGATCGCACACCGGAGGTATCGTCGGAGGAATTCGTAAGTTCGCGAATTTTTTTTTTGTTTCTGTTCAAAGGACATCCGCCTTTTTTTTTCGGATCCTCCATGGAGGATCCGAAAAAAAGGCGGATGTGCTTTGAAACAGTTTTTTTTTTTGGTTTTTTTTTGTTTTTGTTGTTATTATTATTATTATTAGCGTTGTTATTATTATTATTATTACTATTAGCGTTGTTATTATTAATATTATTAGTGTTGTTATTATTATTATTATTACTATTAGCGTTGTTGTTGTTGTTATTATTATTATTATTATTATTATTATTATTATTATTAGTGTTATTATTATTATTATTATTATTATTAGTGTTATTATTATTATTATTATTATTATTATTATTAATAATGTTGTTATTATCATTGTTAGTGTTGTTATTATTTTTGTAATTGTTGTTATTATTGTTAATGTTATTACTATTATCGTTGTTATTATTATTATTATTATTATTATTATTATTACCATTAGCGTTGTTATTATTATTATTATTATTATTATTATTATTATTATTATTATTATTATTAGCGTTGTTATTATTATTATTATTAATGTTGTTATTATCATTGTTAGTGTTGTTATTATTTTTGTAATTGTTTTTATTATTGTTAATGTTATTACTATTAGCGTTGTTATTATTATTTAGTTATTATTATTATTAGTGATCTTATTATTATTATTAATTTTGTTATTATTATTGTTAGTGTTGTTATTATTATTATTAATGTGTTGTTATTATTATTGTTAGTGTTGTTATTATTGTAGTTATGATAATTAATGTTATTGGGGTTTTATTATTATAGGGTTCGGAGAACGAGTACGGCGCCGAATGTGTGAACCATAGTGAGCATTTTGTCACGGACACGGTATTTCCAACGTTCGATGATGCCGTTAACTGGGCGAATGTTGTTGCCCTAAATCTGGGATTTATTCTTGTTAAATCATCTTTTTGCAAAAACAGAGATGGACGGCCATACCAGTATTTGAGGTGTGATAGGGGTCGAAGGAGCCAGCCGAGGGATCTCGGGAACGCAGTTCGGATGGACACAAAAACGAAAGCAATTGGTTGTCCGTTCTACATCAAGATTTACTACGTGCTCGTTACCGATAGTTGGAGGATCTGGGCAAAAAACGATGCAATTGGGACCCATAATCACCCAATGATCGTATATCCGGAGGGTCATCGTAAGATTAGTGACCTAAGTCCGGATGTGAAGAAGGTTGTCCGCGACATGACGAAGTCGAAGGTTGCGCCGCGTAACATCATGGCGGCCATTGCAGAGCAATTTCCCGACGATCATCCAAACATCCGGCATATCTACAACTGCCGGAATGACTTGAGGGCGGAGATGTCCGACGGGAGAGGAGTGGTCCAACAATTTTTGCATTTGGCGAGACAAAGCAAGTATCTTCACTGGGTCATGTCCGATGATGATGGCGTTCTCCAGCACGCGTTTATGGTTCACCCAGTCACGGTGAACATACTACGCACGTACCCGTACGTGATCGGTATGGACTCGACTTACAAGACCAACCGGTACGGGATGCCGTTTTTTGAGATAGTCGGCGTGACACCCACAAATCAGAATTTCCTTGTGGGTTATGTGTTCATGCGCAACGAGTGCACGGGAAGCTACCGGTGGGTTCTACAGATACTGAGAGAGGTGATCGGGTATGATAAGGAGCCGTCAGTGTTTTTGACAGACCGTGAGCTCAGTCTTTGTGCTGCATTGAGAGAAGTGTTTCCCGGGATGTCGCATTTGCTGTGTCGATGGCACATTAACAAGGACGTGGAAGCTCGGGTCACTCAGATGTTCAAGAACAAGAAGATAGGGGCCTAATTCAAAAACGGGGTCTGGAAACGTGTCATGGATGCTGCAACCGAGGTGCTTTATGACTCCGCCGTAGATAGGCTGAAGACTCGGTGGGGAAGTTTCCCAAATGTGATTACCTATGTCGAGGGAACCTGGCTCTATCATAAGGCAAAATTTGTGACATTCTGGACAAACCAGGTTCTGCACTTCGGTAACACGAGCACCTGTAGAGTTAAGAGTCAACATTCGGTCGTTAAGATGTGGTTTGAATCTTCGACAGGTTTGTTGTTTGTAAATCCTTGCAGAGTTGACGTTTATACTTTGTTTAAGTTATTTTATTTGTAAATCCTAACGGTTTTTTTTATAATTTTAATCATTGTCAGGTTCGTTGGATACTGTATGGGCCCGAGTGCATTGTCATATTGGCAACCAGATCATTGCCATTCGTAACTCTTTGGAGGGGTCAAGGTCGAAGATTGGTGAGATGTACAGACAGTTGACATTGTCTCGTATTAATGGTAGGGTGTCCCACCATTGTCTGAAAGTTCTGGATGGCGAGACGAGGAGGATGAGAGAGCTGAGTTACCAGGTGCATGAGCACTGTGGATGTGCAATGCTTGTGACCCATGGTTTGCCTTGTGCTTGCAAGATATATGATTCGCTGGTTGCCGAAACAGGCTTGTATACCCGGCAAATTCATCCGTTCTGGAAGACCTTGGTTATCGGCGATGGTGTTAATGAACTGGAGTTCGTTAACAACTTGAACGAGGAAGCTGCACATTTCCGTTCCCTGGTTGACGAGGTCGTCGGTAGTGATCGTGCTGTGCTTAGAAATGTGTCTCACATCATCGAGGAGGAGTTGCATCCGAACCATTCACACCTCCAAGAACCACAAACAAACCACAACGTTCGAGGTCGCCCAAGGAACAACAATACAAGACGTAATCTCAGTTACTTCGAACATGTGGGTCGTCGGTACACTCAATCTTGTAACCGTCAGACAGGTACGACTTGGAGTTAACTTTGTTATTTTCACGTATTTTAACTTATATGACACAAATAAATATCGTAAACATGAATGTTGTGCAGGAGCAGAAGATCTATGTGACATCAGCCAATGCAGGTATTTGCACTTGCTACCAGGACCGATGTTGCCTTACATCACGGGGTGGAAGGATGTCATTGGCGACGGTAACTGTGGATTTCGTTGTGTGGCGGAGTTCTTCCTCGGTGGTCAAGCACGCTGGTATGACGCTCGGGAAATTATAGCGAACGAGGTCGGCTCTCACTGGGGTTTGTACGAGAGGATATACGGGATAGGAAGGGTGGGGCTAAATGTGGAACGTATCCGATGGATGGCGGGGCTGTTGATTCACGGCACTGGATGGTTGCAATTCAAGATTTATTTCCTATTGCTACGTTGTTCAACGCAATGGTTATTATTCTGGGTGTCGGTACCGTACCGACCTGCTATTACCCTTGCCTCACTGTCTTACTGTTGCGTGCATGGAACACGGTCAGAGCACCCGCCCGGGAATTTGTGATCGCTACTGTTGGGGCTTCCCACTTCATCTGTCTTGAGCTTGCAGAGAACTCACCTCTTCCCCCGATTGCAGGATGGTGGACAGAGAACCACGAGCCTAGTGTTCACGGATGGGATCAGCTTTATTAGGCTCGTAGGAACATGTGGGATGCACTATTTAACCAGTGAATAGATTTATGTACTTATTTTATTCAGATTTATGTAATTATGTTAGTCAGATTTATGTAATTATGTTAGTCAGATTTATGTAATTATGTTAGTTAGATTTATGTACTTATTTTATTCAGATTTATGTAATTATGTTAGCCAGATTTATGTAATTATGTTAGTCAGATTTATGTACTTATTTTATTCAGATTTATGTAATTATGTTAGTCAGAGTTATGTAATTATGTTAATCAGATTTATGTAATTATGTTAGTCAGAGTTATGAAATTATTTTAATCAGATTTATATATTTATTCTAATCAACTTTATGTACTTATTTTAATCAGATTTATGTACTTATGTTAATCAGATTTATGAAATTATTTTGAACAACTGAACTAAATAACTATGTAACATAAAACAGTAAATAAAAATAATAATAGAAAAATTCAAAATGATAATACAAAGGAAAAGTGTCAATAAAAAAAACAATACAATACAAAAATCCAGCAAAGTCGAGTCAACATCCATAGAAAACAAATAAATACAGTCCCTACTGCAAAGGAAAACGAAGACAAGTTACATCACAATCCCATCATCGTCTTTTAGTCTGCTAGCAACTGCTTAGCCATTGCCCTGGTGTCCCGCGTCATGCTCCCAGGCTCATCGAGCGACCTACATATCACCTCCATTGACCGACCCATCCACTGCAGTTAAAAAAACAACTTAGTAAGTATATAAAGCACAATAGTATAAACGAAATTTAAAGTATAAAATGACACAAGTGCTTACATAGTCTGTGGTAGTCCTCTCTGGAAGCCGGTGACCCCTGTCAGATGACGACCCACCCGGAGAAATACGAGGATGGGAAAATCGATAGAACCACTGCATGTAACCGGGGCCCACCGTAGGTCCTCCACCACCAAGTCAAGTCAAGGCACCTAGAACAACACTGAACGATGTGCCAGGGACAAACCGAGTCCACATCACTGATGTCATCTCGGTGGGAAACTCAACCCGATACATCTTCAGGTTGGTCGATCTCTTAGCCTTCTCAGGCCTGATAATAGTCCTCGGAATGTCCTGGACGAACCCCAGCTGCCGGACCACTCGATCAGGCATATATGGCTCAATGATAGCTTGATACTGGATGCAACCAAAAAATAAGGTGGCGGGCACTCGTCGTGCAACATCAACTCCGTAAGGGAGCCAGTTGACCTCATTGTTGGTCAACTGATCCAACCTAGCACGAAAAGCGAGAAGGCTCTCAATGCTCTTGTTGGGGCATCCTGCTCCAACATCCCAAGCAGACGCACGCGGAACACTGAGCTCCCTAGTCAGGGTACCCTGTTGAGGCCGGAAGCACGGGAAGTACTCGTAGATCCACGCCTGAAGAAGCGTGAGACAACCAGCGATCGAATCAGCATCTTTCCTAGATGTCGTACCCAACTGCTGATACAAATACGCTAGAGTCGCTGAGCCCCAAGAGTAGTCAGTCACTGACAGATCATCAACAATAAGCTCGCCGAGGAGGGACGGATGCCTACGGTTACCACTCTTGTCTAGGAACAGACAACCGCCAAGTAGTAACCACAGGTACACACTGTAATGGGTACTAAAAGGCCTCTGCACCGCCAGGGTTGACTCCACAGTCTTCTCGGTCAGTACCCCACTACCCTGCCAGATGGTCTTCGTCCCGTGCTTCTCACCCAGCTCCTCTACAGTCATGTCCAGGATAACCGAGCACGCGTCCCGTAGGGTGTCCGTGCTCTGAGTAGCAGAAACCAGGCCACCATCTACACGCAGCCCTAGGATGTTGTACATGTCGTGCAGCATGATAGTCATCTCCCCGAATGGCATATGAAAAGTGTTCGTATCGGGCTGCCATCTCTCAACAAAGGCTAAAATCACCGGCCAATCTAAACGCCTGAACATGATCCCAGGCAGGTGCGACAGACCACTGCTGTCAATCAGCTCTAGATGCTCCTGGGGAAAACGCCCTCGCCAGGTGACCAATTCAGAACACAGCTCTGTCCTGCTCAAACAGTGCAAAACATTACGCTCCTGCCCGACCCATATATACGCAGCCACGTGCCCCCCAAAACTAAGGATAACGGTCCCATCTTCAGGACCACCTGTCATCGACTCGTGCACTACCCACGGCTCTGCTGCGCTGGTGGAAGGCTGACTGGTTTGACTACTGCTGGCAAACCTCCTAAACTGACCCCTATAAACCGTATGATAATGCGGAGGGTCGTACTCTAAATCGCGTTCATCCTGGCTTGATCGCCCGTCTTCCTCATCGTCAGATGAAGGCACTCCACCCGACGTGTACATGGGGAGACTGCGTTGTGGCTCAGGCTCCCCCGACCAGTTACCAGCAGACCCATACTACTGCTGGTGGTCAAACGGTTCAGCCGTATTTCCTAAACGGCTTGACTCCCGCCTAACTAACGCATTCAAGCGTCTGGATACTGCGTGACGAGGTCCCGAACCCTCGATCTATATTAAATACGTACAAAAATCAACAACATCACAAACAAAAAAAAAACACAACCCAAGTAAAAAATAACAACAACATTAACAACAACAACAACAAAAAAACAAAAACATTTACAAACAAAAACAACATTAACAACGCTAATAATAATAATAATAATAATAATAATAATAATAATAATAATAATAATAATAATAATAATAATAATAATAATAATAATAATAATAATAATAATAAATAATAATAATAATAATAATAATAGCAATTCACTAAATATAATAATAATAATAATAATAATAATAATAATAATAATAATAATAATAATAATAATAATAATAATAATAATAATAATAATAATAATAATAACAACAACAACACTAATAATAATAATAATAATAATAACAAAGATAATATCAACACTAATGCTAATATTAATAATAATAATAATAACAACACTAATACTAATTTAAGAGATATTACAACACTAATGCTAATAATTTCACAAACAACAAAAACAAAAACATTAAAAAATTTCGTCTCCTAAATAATCTTATAAAACAACAACTACAAAAAAATTTAGTTCAGATTTTTTGGTGAGAGATAAAAGAGTTTTGGAGTGAGGAATATGAGCATGAAAAGTGAAGTCCATGAGTTTCGTGAATATTTATAAGCAAGGGCAATTTCGGAAATTCAGGTCCAAAATGCGAGCGTCGCCCTGTAAATTGTGAGCGACGTTTGACAACTCCCTATTTTTTTATTTATTTTTATTTAATTTTTTTTAAAATTCACTCAACTACAATATTTTCTCTAACTATTTATACCGTACCCTTACCCTTGTGCATGTACTTTATACTTAATAGCTACAATTTTTTTTTTTCATGTATATATTATTTGTGGTTCACTCATATAACTTGTACATTCCTCTCTTTTTACGTGCAGTTTATGTACTTTCTCTTTCCAAGTTCTCAATTATAGCTTGTGTTTATGTCTAATGGAAATGTACTATATTTGAGAAGTGAGAGAGTCCTATTTGGTGCGCTTCAAATATAATGTTAGAATAAGACAAACATAAGAGAATAGAGGGAGTATAAACTATCATAATTCTTTATATATGGCTGGCCACACTGTGTGGCAGCGATTACTTGTAGGGGGCTACTTGTTTGGTCAGGAGTTACTTGTAGGGGTTACTTATTTGGGTTACTCTTTTGATCAGGAGTTATTTATTCAGGGGTTATTCGTTTTATCGAGGGTTACTTATTCAAGGTTTACTTGTTTGGTCAGGGGTTACTTATTTAAGGGTTACTCAGTCGGTTATGGGTTATTCTCACACAGAAAGCGCGTTAATCGATTGAGTAAGTAACCCCTGAATAAGTAACCCTTACATGCTATAAGTAACTCATGAGTAAGTAACTACTACAAGCAACCTCTAAATAAGTAATAACTCATACAAGTAACCCCTACAAGTAATCCCTGCCACACAGTGTGACCAGCCACACAGAAAAGTTTGTTGCTGATAAACTATAAGTATGAGTAATGTCAACTTGATAATAATTTTTCCTTTGGTCACTAATTCACCAGATACTGCTGAAATATTCAGTATTTATATATTAATTCACTAGAAACTGTCCAAACTGATACTGATCAGTAATTCAATTAATTTTGCTAGACAATATTATTATAACAAGTTTGACTAAGTTAACCAATCACTTAATTATTACATAAAAGTGTTATTATGTTGTCACCAACCATGCACGATAGCCAGAATCACTTAACTGTATTCGTTAATTGACCACAAACGAGATGTAATATATATCGAATATCTAAGAATATATAGGCATATAGCCTATGTCAAACAAGAATCTATAATAATATGAATATAAAATAAATAAAGTAGAGGTGCAAATAAGATGATTCTTACTATTTTGAAAAATGGTCTTCAAGTGATGTAATGCAAGATGCAACCATTGTAAAGTCTTTCTAATAATTAAGAAAAATAATTCATTGGTTGTTGCGTGCAATCTAGATTTAAGATGAAGGATGAGAGTAATTGATGGGAAAGGAAAATGGAAGGAGGTGTATTGGAAAGAAAGGGAGTATTAGGAAATAAGATAACTGAATTGCTATTTGACGAAATAAAAATACTTAAACTGACAATATTAATGACTTTTATACCCTTATTTTTAAATATTATTACATCATCACCCATAGTTACCTTCAAACCACAAATTCATACCACCACACCGCAACACCTACACTGCCGCCACCATTAATACTCCGGCCGCCGTCACCACCACCACCACCACACCTCGCCACATTGTTCGACTATATTAAAAATAATTCCCTAATTTTATAAAATATAATTAGTTCAAATAAAAAAGATTTGATATATTTTTAATACAAACATTTATATAGTTTTATAAAAAAAAAAGTTCTTTTGATAAATTCCTACATCATTTTATATATAACAATTCTCTATTCTGATCAAAATTTGTCAATTATATTATTAAATTTTATTTTGTTATAAAAAACTAATTATAATGACAACTTAATAGTGGTTATTGAAAATTTCCGTGGATGGCTAGTGACCAACCTACATAAAAACCCTTAAATCTAGTGTAACTACTGGCGATTAGTTATTTGCAAACCGTAGGGAGTAGTAAAACCCTGTTTTAATTAAGTTCCAATTTCTCCCTAATATTTTTTTGTTCTTATACAATGGCGGACGAATTGCCGGAAATATCAATGAATTTGTGGACGGAGATCTTAGCAAGGCTGCCCGCGAAAAGCCTAATGAGATTGAGGTGTGTTCGTAAAAGTTGGTGTTCTTTAATTGATTCTTCTGATTTCATTCTTTTGCATCATCAAATTTAAGACAACATAGCATTCATAGTATCGATACATTCAGTAAAACTCCTGATTGTTGCGCTGTTATAGGGAGCTGTAATGGATTGATTTTGATGTATTCCTTAACGTATAATAACATTATGATGATACTTTATGATCCTTGAATTCGAAAGTCCCTTGTGATTCCACCTTAGCTTGTCCTTTTATTTCGATAGGATATAGAATAGGTTGGCTAGGTTTTGCTCCGTCTAGTATGGATTATAAGTTGCTTGCTTACGGGTTTCTTAATCTTAAGTATCCCAGAGTTTTCAATCGCGGTTTATTCATTAAATGATTGCCTTTGGAGGATCAAATATAGGCCGTATGCTCACATTCGAGGCCTTAGTTTTAAAGACGGGGATAAATTTTATAGTAAAAATGGTGTGTACTAGTTTGGACTTGACCAGGACATACCTCGTGCGGCTCGTGGCCTACACACGATGTGGATTTGCCTGATGCTCTTAAGAAAATAGGTCTTGTCAAAATTAATATTGTCCTCGGTGAGTCTGTAACAATTTTCTGTTTGTCTCCAGATTATACCTCCATATGGTTTTGGTCGAGGATGGTGGGAATAGATCATGGCGGCTTTGGTATAAAGGAGATTCAAATTCAAAAGCTTTTCGGTTTCTAACAATAAGTATTGGTACGGAGATTTTCAATATTGAGAAGAATACATATTTCGTATTTAATAAAGATAGACTGTGTTCTTATAATTATAAAAGTCACCACCTACAACATGTGGAAAATTATAATGATGGTTGTAAATATTTTGTGACTTTTAAGGAGAGTTTAGTACTGCACAAACGAAACCAAGGGTTTTTACAAGACGGCTGAATGTAGGAGAATATCGTAAACTGTGAAGAAATTGTTAGCTTGACATGCGCTAACTTGAACTGTTTGATTGTAAACGTACTGAGAAGTGTTATTTGTTGCTTGTTTTTCGTCTTTACTTTATGTTTAGGGTAAAAATACCCTGTCCATATGACCCAATGGCATGCTGACACGTGTCAGTATTAGAGAGGCCCAGGAGGATCCAATCCTCTGCTGACACGTGACACCTTAACCCTAAAAGGAGAACTGATCCCCTTCCACTATAAATAGAGGAAAATTCTCATTTATTACACATTTATAAATACAAACACAAAAAACCGAGCAATATTAATTGAAGAATTCTCTCTGAATTAGATAGAAAAGCCTTTATATTCCGTACTTTTATACATCCAGAAACGTTCTAACTTGATCGTCGGAGGCGGAACTCCACCCAACCGGAGTTTCCATGGTTTTGTAGGTACAGAAGGTCGATGCACATCCTTGGAATTGTAACTCTCCCGAGGGACTCCAAAAACCCCGAAACATTTGGCGCCGTTTGTGGGGAGAGTACTTCTCAGATGGCATCCGAATCTATACCGCTTATTGAGGGCAAACAACCTATGGCCGAGCCCGAGGTCCATACGGATCAAGATGGTGGTGACGACTTTGAGGTCGACACCTATGTGGCCCCAGACGGGTCATTAAGAACAAGACGCACCCGTTCCAAAGAAACAAGGGAACGGGGCGAAGATAAAGCTGGTCCTAGCAGCCCAACCGTCAAGCCGGCTGGGAGACCCCAGGCGGCGAAAGGGGATGCCCCCGTAGCTAGAGACGAACTCATGAAATTCATGACAAGTTTCAAAGGGGAGATTAAGGACCTGATAAGCAAGTCAGCTAGCATCAACAAGGGTCAGCCGACCAAGAAGCCTTCTCCCTCCGGGAAGAAGCATATTAAAGATCGTGTGCCCACTCCTCACCACAAAGGGGGTGGACGGGCCCCTGATCGACCTATCCAAACTTTGTTTCCCTGAATCAGAGCAAAGGAAGGCCATCCGACAAGTTCAGTTGGATGGGTCAAAAAAGACTTACTCAGACGCCCGAATGTTCATCCAGGAGAAGAGGAGTAAGAAAATGTCTAAGTTGG